CCAGAGCTGGCATGACCGCCCCATCGGGACCCTGGCTCTCCTCCCCTGACCACCAAGTCTTTCCAAGCAAATGCCATCCTCTCCTCCCCTCCCCTGCATTCACTCCACAGAGAAATCAATTAAAACACCCAGATGCAAGGCACAGATCAGAAGAACAGCAGAATTTTATAAGACACCTTTTCCCCACTGCAGCCATCTTCTCCAAAACCAAAGCAACTGTCCCCTTGCAGAAGACATGGAAACGCTGTTCAACAAAGGGGCCTTCTCAGACCATTTCAGATCCCTCTGGGGAAGCCGTGGCCCAGCACCTGGCACAGCTCAGCTGCTTCTCCTTGGCTCTTAGCTGACCAAGTAGATTTGTGTCCAGCTGCTACAGGTCTGTTGTGTTCTCTCTACATGCAGGGCCTGGCTCCAAAGACGTGCCCTAGGGTTGAAGCTAAGAAAGAGAGCCAGAAGTCCAACCCCACACCGAGACCCCACTGCTGTCTTCTAGAGAAAGAGCATTTGAATGCATCACTGGAGGCACTGCACACCCAGTGCTATCAATGTACGCAACCTGCCTTGGTTCCTTCACAGCCCACCATGCTGGTGACTGTGTGCAGGGTCAGATGAGGAGCCTGCCCATTCACAGAATCACAGAAAATGGTGGTTGGAAGGGACCTCACGAGATCACATCCAGTCCAACCCCCTGCTTAAAGCAGGACCAGTCCCAACTACATCATCCCAGCCAAGGCTGTCTACCCGGGTCTTCAAAACCTCCAAGGATGGAGATGCCGCCACCTCTCTGGGTAATTCCAGGAGGCCAATTCCTGTTCCACCTTTAATTATTTTCTTATTCGACAGAAGCAGGCTTTCTTTGGCTACACGTTACAGGTCGCTCAGGTTAAGTTCAGGCAGACTGTCCGACAGGTCACTGCCGAGGTCCTCATCCTCATCCAGTATGCTTCCGGCCTCCTCTCGTGGCGTGCTTGCCTTCAGCTCCAGGCTCGGGGTGGAGGTATTTCTGGAACCTACAGGGACATTGCGAAGTTAGCGATGCTCTGGACCTTGTTCCTGAGAAACCAAGCTCAAAGCACCAAAGAGAAAGTGGCTTGAAGGAAGCTGCAGCCCCTAGTCACAGCCTCCCTGGAGCTACAGAGCATAGGCAGAGCTGATTCTCTGCGTGTCTGTCTGCAGTCACTGATGAGCTCCAACATCAAGCGGCGCCCAGTCACCTTCTCCCAAGGCAGATAAAATGTGAGTAAACATGCCAACTACGGGGGTTTGACTAAAATTAGGTGCCACTCTAAATTAACCATGGCCCCAAGCTTCTCAGCAAACTGCCAGTGCTCTCCCTGGGTGCCCCTGCTTTCATACTAATTAGGCTTGTGGTTGCTCCTATGATATAAAATATGTACTGCTAATAACATAGGATAACGAGCTTCCTGTTATAAAATGGTACATTTTGCTTGACACAGAACTTTGCTGATTAAACATTAAATTCAATCCCTGGCGTGTGCCTGGGAATGATACTGAAGAAGGGAACTTAACCCTTTGATGTGGCATGGAGAGATGGCTTAGGGAATGTCCTAACACCAGCCTGACATGTTACAACTGTCTGCAAAGCAGTTAATTGCAGCAGCTTTGTTAACAAAGACTTAACCAGCAGGATTAGTACTTGGAAAAAACAGCAAGGCAGCTTAATATGCCTTAAACTCCCATTCATGAGAATCTTAAGCACCTTACCAAAGTAGGGCATGAATGTCCTTAAAGAGAATATTAACCACTTTGTTCTTGGACCTGGGATTTCCCCCAAGGCTAAATATTACTGCAAACACGGGGGACTTTAATATCCCAAGAAGCAACTGTGCAGATCCAAGGAGATAAACAGGTTGAAAGAGGAAACTTTTTGAAGCTGGTAATTCTCACCTTCTTCCTAATCTCACTGGCTGTGAGTGCCAGCACCAACCTCAAAGAGGAATGACAACATTAAAATCTGATGCTTACCCCCACCAGGGGAAGTATCAGATATCACAACTGGCCTCACACCCAACCAAGTGTTACCCCGAAGCCAGACTGGGTGGGGCAGGGGGATCAAGGAACAGATGAGAACATATATACACACTGCCTCAGTCTTTGGCAAGGCAGTGCTGCTCACAGGGCAGTGTATTTTTAACTATGGCTTGCGTACTTTGATATTTTTTTCCTCATCAAAGCAAGCAGCAGAAAGTGCCTTGGTCCAGGGGCCAGCCAAGTGCAGTTTCACAGCGCAGACCACAAGCAGGGTTCATCTTTAACACACAGCTAGGACAGACCAGCCACCTCCATGCAGAGAAGCCCCTGGCATCATGGTGCATGCAGGGAAACATCATCTCAGGGCTGCTACTCAACAGCACGGATGCAAGAGGTTGATGGTTGGCTCCGTCTCATGCGCGAGACTTCTTTTTGACACAACACCTTTGATCAAGCCTAACAGCCCGCAGACAAAGAAACGCAAGGGCACGTCTACCTTATAGAGGTCCTGATGCAATAGGTGTGCGGGCAAACAGCCTCCTGGTGGACACAGGGAATGGGGCCAGCAAAAGGGGGTTTTCTGCTGGTGTAGCTGCATGATCTCCTCAAACTGCTGTGTCCAGACTAGAGCAGCATTTCTCAACCCACGGGTCGTGACCCAAAATGGGTCTCAAGAATATAGGAAAGCATGAACAAGCTTTAAAAATAGATCAGCAAACTTTAAAGGAAAAAATCTGAGAAATGGTGGCTTTTCCCTTGCAGGCTGGCAGAGTTCCAGCCTGTGAGGGGCTGCTTGGGCCCCCCCGCCCCACATACCCCCTGCCCCACGCACTAGGGGGCTGGGGCCTGGGGGCACTGGCCGTTGATGTTTACAAATGGGTCCTGATACAAAAGGTTGACTGGACTAGAGTGTTTTCCAACATAGCTGCATCAGCTAGGGGGTGTGATCTCCTCCCCACCTCTAGCCACCTAGGGTAAACCTTTGTTGTGTAGGTCAGACTCAGGGCCAGGAGAGCAAATCTGTTAGTGAGTGTAGAGCTGGGATTAGAACCCAGAAGTCCCAAATCTATTAGTACCCTGATGACTGAAGCATGCTGCCCCCTATATTTGGGTGTCAAATACCTACCAACCAGTCCTGGCACAGCTTTGGGGCTCTGATCAAATTGTTAGTGACCTCAGTTTAGGCTTCACTAAGACACTGGAAGGGAAAGGAAGCAGGACGCATACAGGGAGGTCCTCAGGCATTGGATATTCACAACCCACTGAAAATATTATAATCTTCAAATACCAAGGAATTTTATAGCAGCCACGCTATGCTTACCTTCTGGCTCCTTGATCTCTGTGGTGCTGGAGAGCTCATCGGAGCTGACGTCTGTGAGACTGAGCTCAGAGCTGGAATCATCAATCACGGAGGAAGTAAACATCTCCTCTCTCAGCGAGTCCTTCATGCTCTCTAGGGGAAATGCACCGAGAAGCAGGATAAGCTGAAAGCTGAGTCAATGATTGAAGGCCAAGGTCTAATTCCCAGCTGCCTTGGATTTGTGCTCTCTCTTGTACCTGGAAAAATACTCCAAACCTGTTTGAACAGTCTTTCCCTCCTACCTGGCACAGGTGGGAATGACTACATGGGCAAACAGGTCCCAAAGCACTAACCTTACGTGGGACACATATTGGGTGGAATGCCTTGCACTGAATTTTCCCAGCCCTGACTTTCATGAATGTACAATTAACATAAACTTCCCAGGAGAAACGAAAAATCCCAGACTCCTTGTCATCCCTCCTCGCCCGATCTCCTCCCCAGTTCTAGATATATCAGGCTCCCCCTCTGGAATAGACTGAAGTGGTGACATGGCTACGACTCCAAGCCAGGAAGCTTCAAAAATCAACAACAGGCTCCAGGAACAAATCCCCAGAGCATCAGTGATGTAAAAGCTCACACTGCTTACTTTGACGAGCTCTCTTCTTTCCCGTGAGCTTCATAAGTGGCTTCTCCAAGCACAGACTTTTCATTTGGTCTTTCAGGTCAGTGACCGTAGATCTGATGGAAACAAACACTGATCAGCTTCAAGGACAGAAGCTGAATTCATTTTTGGGGGCAATTCTAAGAGGGATTTTGGGAAACTCGTGGTTTACAGCGGCTAGATGCAGGTCTGCTGAGCAACTGATATTATGTAAGGCAGAGACAGGTCTTCTACAGAGCGGAAACAAGAATCAATATTTAACCACAAACTACAATAAAATCCCATTATTGGAGATGGCTTCCAAGTTAATATAATGTCCTCCACAGTGGTAAGCTACAGAATGGCAGGGAAGTCTGGTTTCTGACATTAGAGGAAGATTAATCAACATGAATTTAATAACAGAGCCCTGCTGAGCTTAATGCTGAGTGGGAACTACGTGTTACCTCACGCATTTCCCAGTAATACTGGTTCTTAATGGGGGCAGGTGGGGAAAGGCATCAGAGGAAAAGGACAAAGGAGGCAAGACCCCTGGGTTATAATACCAGCTCTGTCATTTACTCACTGTGCAGCCGGGAGCGAGTCATGCCACCTCTGCATCTAAGCTACGCAGCTGTGAAGTGAGGGGGTCATGTCCCCATACGTTTCACAGGGGTGAGGGAAGGGAAGACTGCAAGAATTACCTCAGTATCTGAGAAGGGCTTTGTGCTCTGTGGATGCCATAATACCAGTCCTTGTCAGCATTTGTCCAAGGCCCGGCATCACAAGAAGAGGACAGCTCTGTGCAGAGCAAATGCCATCAGACAGGACACTGCCGAGTGGTGGGAAGAGCTCCTTCCAGCAGGTGCTATGGATGCTGTCGCCAGCAGCCTGTCCTATTTCTAACTGCGGTAGCTACGTTCTGCCTTCCTGGGCTGCTGCTGCCGCCCCACAGTCCTGGGGATAACGTACTCTCCACTTCCTGTCCCAAACTGGCACATAATGTTTCTGTTGGCTGGTAAAAGCCTGCCAAATCCATAGATATTTAAAAAAAAGGCTTCTCTGGAACAATATTTACTAAGCCTAGCACTGCTGTACCACAAAGGACTTCAGTATTACACTGACGACGATGAATGGGGCTGCTGTGGGCAGAAGGCTCCTCCGAGAAGGAGCTGTCAGGGATCGGTGACCGACAACAGAAGGATGGGCCAGCTCTTCTGTGAAACATTATCCTGTCGCGGTACTAGGGTATGTGGGAAAGAGGGTTAGAGAGAGTCCCACCACCTTCAGTTAAACCCACATCAACTCCTATACCTGGCAGATATCCCAGGACAGCTGGGATTGGACAGAGAAGGGTACAATTAAACAGAGCTAGGCAGATGCAAGAACTGTCAAGAGAGAAACTCAGACATCACCATCCTCCCCAGGGACCAAGCCAAAGCCCACAAGGCCCGGTGGAGCAAAGGCTGCAGACAAACGGCAGGGCCCGTTCCCATCGGTGGAATGCAGTGAGAGAGGAGAGGAGGGCAAGCTGGTAAACAGCTGGAGTTTAGGCAAATCAAGTGGGCATCTCTTCTGAGAGGGGCCCTAGGCAAGAGGCAATTCCTGCCGAGATGACAGGAAACGAAGGAAGTAAAGGGGGAGCCACGTGGGTTAACTCCGAGACAATAGGATCTTCCAGTGCATCAGGGCCCAGGGAAAGTGAGCAGGCACCATTCCACAGCGCACACCCACACAGGGACTGGGAGGCCCAGGGGAGCAGCTGTCTGATACAAAACCTTTCATCTCCAAGGCCCCAGCTCAGGGTCAGCTTAGTGTGGGAATGACAGAAGTCATTTGCACCAGATGGCTGCTTCGTGCCTATGTGAAACAAACTGGAAGTGCTTGACCTGGCTGTCAACGTACAGGTATCCTTCTCACAAGGACACACCAACACCAGTCGCCATGTTGGACATCTTGGCAAAGAGATCTCTAATCAAATGCAACACCTGCCCCAAGCCAAAGATCTTCTCCAGCATAGGGGACAAGCTTGAATTGCAGCAGACCATGCCCTGCCTGTTCCAGGCTTAAACAGGAGACTTGAACCTCCAGAGCTGACAACCCAGCACCTTCTGCATTAGAAAAATTGAGCACCATGGTCCCACCCTGGTTAGTGTGACTGGAGAGGGATATTTTCTACCCCTAGCCTTAGTGAGTACAGTGCCAGTTCCCTTACACACTGCCTTGACATGGGACCCCAACACTGGAGGGGCTGCCTGAGGCTCAGATGGGAGTGCAGCCTTTGGCTTCTCTAAGACTGCAAACAAGGGGTCTCTTGGTGCTAGCTGGGATGAGAGCCCTGGGAACAATAGCTGCACTTGGACACACAGCAGCAAGTGTGCCAAGGGGAGAGGAGCCACCCCACCACCACCCATGCAATGCACACGCACACAGTGCTGCACTTCCCATGAGACCCCCGGCAGGACACGTTCTTACTTGACATGGCCGAGCTCCTGCTGGGTGCTCCGCGTCTCCACCTTGGCTTTATCCAAGTCATGAGACTGAGCTCTGTAGCTGTTCATCAGATCTTCCAGCATCTGAAGAGAAGAGGGGACACCACCTCAAAGGACTCTTTAAAAATGGTCCCTGGTTCTACCCCGCAGCTCTGAGCCCAGCAGAAAATAGACATCCGACTCGCACTATGGGAGACTATGGGCCTGAAACAGCTCCAGAAAACAGAGCCATGGAGACCCACAGCTCCATGACAAGGAGCACTCCACCCTGCCCACACAGAAGGCAGTACTTAGGGCCATTCCCTCATGGAGCAACAGGCTGCAAAATAATGGTCTCTTTCTCAGACCAGTCCTCCTTGATGCACATCAGGAACCACTCTGAAGACCTCTTGCTAGCCAGGTTTCACCCACAAACTGTGTTCCTCCTCCCCCAATAATAGCAGTCAATTTGAGAACAAGCTCAGCCCCTCTTGGACAGGTTACTGTACAGAGAAGGGGTCCTACAGCAGGTGGGTTCTGAAAAACCACCAGGGCTGCTGCCTGCTGAAAATTAGCACTAGATCTCTTCATTGGCTCTGGGGTATTTTAGGCCTTTCAGAACTCTGCTCCCTTCATCCCCATGCCCTGACAGCTACTGGTCACAACTGCAAATGTGCCCACGCCCTGGCATGAAACATCCTTCCTGGATGGGCTTCTAAAGGCACCAGCCTCTGCTCTGAAGCTCCCTCACTCTGCCTGTGGTGCCAGCAGGCTAAGTGGGGCTGGGGGCAGTCAAGGTGTTTACATATAAGTACCCATGCCTTTTTCCCCACTAGGTACACACACACTCCTATATACATGTTGAATGAACCCTTCTTACCCACCCTTTACATATCAATCCCCTTAGATTTGTGTATGTACTGCACCTAGCACAGCAGTCTCTTGTCTGGGGTCTGTACTACAACCTCAATATTAAATAAAGAAGAAATAAATTCCTTCCTTTCAGATTGTAATCACACTGATATTAATGTTCCATACACAGCAACCAGTCACCCACATGTTGGGAAACTCAGAAATACCAACAAATTGTGTAATACCCTCACAGGGAGGACTGTTACAAGCTCAATGTTTAATCCCATAAACATGGTCACATAAGGAGAGAAAAAAATACAACCACCGCACCCATGCAGAGACAAGGGCTGGGTCTACTCTCAGGAGCAATGAGAAGACTGGTAAATGTAAGCACCTCCCAGCCTTTGTCAAGGTAGCACCAAGCCTCATAGCAATGGTAAGGCAGCAAACCTGGAAAATAAAGGCTCTGGCATACAGGAGCAGGCCACCAAAAATTGAGATCTTTGCTCCAGTTTTCAAGAGGAGCGTATATGGTCCATGAACTTCCTGGATTCTCTTACCATGCTGGTCCATGACAGCAGATCTTTCCTGCCCCCAATGGGTGATCAGCGTAGGGCAGAAGTACACAAATTCACAGCCACACAATTTTTACCCATGCTATTAAAATGGAAAATTCTATCCGTACGTGGGTCTGATGACATCTGCTCCCATAAGGAATCCTACTCGCCCTCTTTCTGCCTCGCCCTGAGGCAGTGGGTTCCGCAGGTCGTCAGAACAGTACATGCTTAGATTTTTCCAGGGAAAAGTGATCCAGTAAACAAGGTACCTTGCAGTATCGACTTTGAGTTCCCTTCATTTCATCAGTTGCAGACATCTGATGGAACAGATCCTCCTCTTGCCGGTCTGAGAAGAAAAACAATTTGGCTTTGCCTGGACAGAGACAACTAATTGACTTGATTTGGTCTTAGGCATAGCTGAATTTGCTTCCATCCGACGCCCGTTTTTTAAACAGCCACCTCTACATTCATGTCTCTGAGCAGTCTCAGTAAAAGCTCAGAGGGCAACTATGATGCTAGAATCATTTTCCACTGAGAACTCATCTATCTGTACAGTGAGCACAGCCTGCTGGTCCCCCCTGGGAATTGCGTGCGATACCCAGTGCCATTACTTTCATAACTGCATAAAATGTCATCAGAAAGGGCTTTCTGGTCCAAGCTCCTTAACACACAGTTGTGCTCTGAATCACTGAGCAAGATGGCAGTGGGGTTTTGCACATACTGCCTACTAGCATCACTGAGCTTGGCGTATTATAAGTAAACAGTGGGTCAACCTGCTTCCCAACAATGTGTCTGTCTTGTCTATTCAGACTGGCAGACTTTGTAGAAGGATATGGTCTTGCACTCTGTTCTCATCCTGATCGAGTACAACTGGGACCCAGTCTTGGCTGAGTGCTTTGGGTATCCCCAGAACGCAAAACAACAGCAGTATAACAAGCCTGAGAGCCGAGATTCAAGGCAGGTGTTTTCAGTTTCATGCATCAGTGCTAAAAAAATTCCACAGCTCAAACACTAACCCTTCGTTATAGGGAGTATATACCGCACAGCCTCCAGAGGGGATGCCCCCTACCGTTACCGCGACCCATTACCAGAAATTCTGTTTATGATTTGTGAGCAAAAATAAAATCCTGCACCCTCTTCTACAACCATATCAGCTCTGGGATCTAACAGAAGTGAAGAAGGTAATTGGTGATTAGTCAGCAGATCTGACAGAGCGGGGCTGATGAGCAGGAAGGGGTTGTTACAGTTGCTTTTAAGACAAGATGCAGAGTTTGATAATCTAAAGCATAGGGTAACTTTAGGGATGGTCTTTTATTCAGGCAAAGTACCACCAGATAGTCGTCCCCGAGAAAGGCCAAGCAGGAGCGCATTTTTTCCCATCCCAGTATTTTTGTCTTGTGCCATTTTTTAAAAACATAGGTACAGAAGTGAGTGAATGGCTAGTGCACTGCAACAGTGCGCCCTGCAGGCAGAGACCACCTCCCCGAGCACCACAGCACAAGAGACTGTCCTCCCACAGTTCTGCCAGTGTACTGCACGAAGTACACTGGACCCTGGGCCCGCTTCGCCACAATGTCCCTTGCTGTCTTCCTCCCAAATGGGGACTGTCAACAGAACTAAACAACCCAATACTCCCAACTGAGGACCATTTCCCCTCCTTCTGGTCAGGCTCCCAAGACACTGCTGGCTTGTCCTGCCCAGGCAGTGCCAAGACACCCTCTCTGCCCCCTCCCCGGTGAGCAGTGCAGAGCATCACTTACTCAGCGTGTGCTTCAGTTGCTCTACCTCTGTCCTCACACATTCATATTCTTGCCACAGAAGCTTTTTGCTGCAAGAAAAGGAAGAGGGGTTACCCCTAAGAGAAAAGGGAAGATCAGCCTTTTCTCCATCAGCCAGGTTGCTGCCGGATGCAGTACTGACCTCTCGTGCATCTCCTGCAAGATGCTGGAGCTGGGGTACACATCCGGAGTGCAATCTCCATCTGGCTGGTGAAACATTTGTTGCTGCAGGTTATGAAACTCGCTCTTCAGTCCCTCAATCCTGTGTCCCAGCAGGGACTCCAAGCCACTGTGAGGACTGTTCTGCAATCGATGAACCTCCCCTGCAACGGCAAGTGGAAGAGCAGGAAGCAATTAGGTCTCAGGCATGTCAACAGAAGGGGTGAAGATGCTGGTATAAACTGCCAGAGGTATTGGGGACCTCTGCTGAGCGCCCCCCCGCAAGGGATATGGCACAACTAGTGTCAGTTTAAGAGCTCCCCACAACCCCCCAGCAAGCCTGTTGGGCAAGAGAGGAGTTCAATTCTCATGGCCAGTCCTAGACAACTGATGATTTCAAGCAGAATAGGTGACAAGCACAAACCAAAGGTCAGAGCTGGCCTCCTATGAGTGTCTGTGCCAAAGTTGTGTGGTCTAGGGATGAGAGAAAGGGATTTAGTGCTGGGACATTTCATTTCCAGTTAGGACACTCTAAAGGCCAATTGCTTCAGCTGTGTATCCCCTGATCCTTCCCCACAAAGTGCTCAGACAGGATAACCAGTATCACTGAAAGGGAAGAATGAGACAATCAGACTCAAGGTGCTGTGGTATATCTGACAGCCTTGGCTCTCCCCGTTTAGCAAAGAAAAACACTGAACTGAGCCCCACTCAAGATCTATGCTCGCAATCCACTGTCTCGCCAAGAGCACCCCAGACAGACAGGGACGCAATCTGTATAACAAGCATCTCCAAGCATCTCGCAGTGACCTCAAACTAGGCAACTCTTCAGTACCTTCCAGTTTATTGATCCGCTGCTGCTGAAGCTCCCTCTCCTGTTTCAGTCTATTTACGGACTGGGTGAGGGACTCAACGATCTGAAGGGAAGACATAGGTTAGAACAAGTCTTACATGAAAACAATTTAGGCTAAAAGAGGACTCAGCTGGCTAGAGCAAGGAGGTTCGCTGGAGAAACTGGGAATGCTGATGGGCCCCTAGAGACGGACTTGAAAGCAACTCAACTTGGCTGAGCAAGATGGACCTCCCTGGTTGGGGGAATGTTGAAGGGCAGCCTCTATAGGGTACAGTGGACCACAGGAGAGCAAATGAAAGCCAGTGCTCCTAGGGGCCTGCTTTCCTTTAAAGAACATGTGAACGGGCAGATAAGAGTATTCATATAACTTCTGCCATATGAAAAAGCTGGAGATGTCACTGCCTACCTATCTTCTAAGCATGTCACACTATAGGGCCTATAGCACACTGCTACAAGAGACCCAGATCCAAGCTTGCAGCTGAAGCCCCAGACCAGCAGGATATGAGATGCCACACAGGTAATACACTCTCCCCCAGGATGATGGAAAAAAGAAAACATCCCATATCTTTATGCAGAGACCATTCTAGATGTCTCAAAGAGCCTCTACTAGCTCAGAGGGGACAGGTTTTCATACATCACGTGCTGGGTATGCAATTGAAAGGATATGCATTACCACTACACTAGCAAAAGTCATCTCTTTCCTGTTAGCAGAGGAGACAAATGTCACTGTAAGCCTGGGGTTACCTTGGCTTGAGAATGCAGCTGTCTGCGAATGGCTGCTAGCTCCTCTGTTGCCATCCTGCAGTGTGGAAGACTTATGCAGGTGGGACACGGCTGCACAGATCTGGCCAGGGATTCATCAAATGCAGCGTCTTCTGTGTTTATTCTATCAAGCAGAAGATCTACTAAGAGATGAAAAGCAAGAAGTGTTACTAGGAGCTGCAAGGATAGGAATCCCCTGGGGTTTTCTGCATTCTTAAACTTGCTGCTGCTGATGCCTAAGGCAGGGACTTAGGAAAAAGCCAAGCTGAAGCTGTACAAGTAGCAGTCAGATTCTTTCCTGTTCCTACTTAAATGATGCAATCATACACACTCTCACTGGGAAAGGCTAGCGTGTTCATGCTGAAACCTCTGCCTAAGTAACCCACCCAATCTCCAATAAAGAAAGGCTTGAAAGAGTCATCAGTCTGCCACCTGGGGTAAGAACAAACCTGGATTTTGAAACCAGGGCATTGGCAGCTCTTATGAAACAGAGATAAAAATAAAGACAGTTATAGCTATCCATCTGAAATACAGAAACAAAGCACTGCTGTGCAATGAAATGCTAGATGCTTTAGCGCCACATGCTTTAGAAAGTCAGATGAGGATTTACCTTTGGAAGAGATGCTGGTTGTGTTCAGTCGCTGCTGCAAGGGATAAAGAGAAATCAGATGATGTAGTAAAGATGCTAACACCTGCTTTCAGCAAGAACAGGTGAGAGTTGCACACCTAAGAAGGACAGGCTTCACACACTGCCTGCAGAGGAACCCTGGCATAAAATCCAAGCCATTGCAGGGGATCAGCCTAGAAGAGTGAGATTGAGAAGTGCTCCCCTGTTGCTCAAGCCACCCTGCAAGCAAACTGGGCTGAAACAAGAGCAATTAAGTGAGAAGATGACAGAGAAGTAGAGGATTCAGGTCTGCTAGAAAAAAGCAGACAGCAAAGTATTCAGAAGACATTCACATTTTTAAATATGATTTTGCAGTGCCGGGCAGCATGGGGACAGTTACAAAGACAGGAAAATCTATGGAGTTCCCAGAGCCCCACACAACCCTAACCAGGCTGACAAGGCAGTTCCTACATCCTTTACCCCTTTGTTAACTGCTTAGGATCAGCACCAGTAGATTTTAAATTATATTTGCACCTAAAGCACCTTTCTATACCCCATGCTCTAACCTGGGGCAGAGCTAGGAACAAAACAGGAATCCCAAAGCCCAGTTTCTCACCCTGAGCACTGAGCTATGCTCTCTTTAATAACATTGCTGCTGCTTCCGCCCTGCCGTGCTTCTAGCAATAAAATATACACATCAAAGCAGCACTTCCTCCTTTCCTGCAAGTTCCTTTGTTTTAATCAACCAGCGATCACAGTAAGGAGGCTACCTATGCTTTTGAGAGGCAGCGGCAGGTCTTTATGGAAAATATTTGTCTCAGAGAAGTAAACCCCTTCCCTCTGAATTACTGTGCATTAAAGGGTCAAATAGTCCATCACAATACAGGATTAAATATTTTTGGGGAAAGCAAAAAGACTCTCTCTTCAATGAACAGACCAGAACGTACTGCAGAGAGTTAGTTAGTTAGTTAACTGGTTAGTACCAGCCGCAGAGCGCTAGTTCCAGATGCGTCTGCAATGCACGTGGGGTCCTGGTGGATTTTATTAGGGCAAAAAGGACTCAATTGTGATGGTGCTATTGGTGCAATTGCTATGCTGCCACCTGTCCGATCCCAGAATTTTCTAGAACGTCGGAATCACAAGCCGTGCCTCCCCAATCCAGCGCCCTACTCATGCTGAACCCCTTTCCTCTTCATTTTAAGGTGAGTTATCACCTCTCCTGCGTGCTCACATGCTTGACACGCTGGCAGAAGCGCTTCCATCAGCAAAGGAAGCTTTATTTGTGACCCTCAAAGACAAAAGGTCCTGCACGAAACGGATCTTCTCAGCTGACCGAGTACGAGCACCAAGAATTTAGCGAAGCATTTAGGGATCTGGAACCTCGCCACAGGAGCGCAAACAGCTACAAAATCAACCGCCGAGACTTGACGCCCACGACGCTGCCGGCACTGCACAACAAACTGGTTTAAACAGCGCTTTCCCAGAGCTGGGATCTTAGCGACGCGTTGGAAACGCAGACAACGCGGGCGGGAAGGATCACTGCTGTCGATGCGCGGGCAGCCCAGGACGCCGCCGCCGCGCGGGCGCGCCGCTGGCTCTCCGCGGTTCAGACGTCCAAACGCTGCAGCTGAACTTGCCTTTATTCTGGCCACGCTGGCATCTGTTTCGGTCAGTATGGAGCTCAGCCGCGTGTCCCAATTCATGCTGCTAGGAGACCGGGCCTTGCAAGTGTTTGCTGTTGCCAAAGCAACCTTGCATGGGTCTGCGGGGTGGAGAGGAGAGACCTGGGGTCACTTGCCCCCCCCC